GTTATATTTTACATGAGCAGAAGACAAAGCCTGTGACAATGTTTTTGCAAAAAAATACGATGTCCAACTGAAGATAGTGGCACGTTGCTTAATCTTAAGTAATGTACACACATTCCATTCTATGAATGAAGGATAACTGTAAGCTCTATCACTATCCATCTTTCTCTCAATAACGGTTCTCTTGTTTCACACATGTTTTAGCTTTCTCATACTATAGCAGTGATTAGCTCTGTCTCGAGACTTACTACTTCACCATCCATGAGAAAAAGGATCGTAGGTATGGTCCTTTTTATGTCCTACCCCCTACTAAACATAACTGATCAACCTGTGCTGAAATTGAGGTCCGAATCGAGTGCGGGACGCTATGTACCACATTGCGTCCCAGCACAGCTAGTTATTCCGTTGAACACTGCAAACTTAGTGGTATAGTTGCACTGTCCAGCTAATTTAATAACTTTCCGAGTCGAGCCAACTTCTGTTTTAGTAGGCACAGGTTCGGATCCTCCGGCGAACATATAAGGATACCGGAATTGTGGGTTCTTGGACTTGAATTTAAACAAGAAGCGTTTTTCACACGACTCGAGAAGGGAATAGCTGCATTAGTGAGATATCTAAGAAAGGAATGCCGCTAAAGAGAAATGAACTCGCCCCATTGTTAGGTTGGGGTCAGGAACTTTGGGCATCTAGCAAGATATCAGATCGTCGGCGAATTCTGTTCCTATCTCTTGCACCTTTATCCAAGAACTTTTTCCTGTTGCCATAACGGGAATTCACAGATACAATACGTAGGATCCCATCTCTTCCGAACATCTTCCCTAACATTAGTGTCAAGATGAGCCCACCATGTAATACTCCCAAGGATGCATACATAAGTAGTCTAACTTTACTTGTTAGCAATCTAACTCAAAGAAGTACCGATCGTCTGGAAAAGGCATATTTATTTAATACACATATTAATACAAACATATTTATTTAATATTTAATACAAGCATATTTATTTAATACCAAACAGTGTGTTCAACATATCAATAACAATGCAAACTAGACTAGTATCTAAAGAAATTAAGCTAAAATTAGGTTAAAATGCGTGATCACTACTACTAAATACTTAGTAAAAAGGTGTTCCATCCACCTTGCTGGTTAAAAATGAATCAGTAGTCTTCGTTCTTTAGTTTGGAGCTTATAGTAAATGTTATTAAGTATTTCCAACATGTAATTATGAAAAGGATGTGATCTTTTCCCACACGTCACAGGATCACAGCTTACCTCTTAGAAGCATGCTAATCTTTTCGATTTCCACTCTTAGTGGTATGTAATTTACCAAGTATCATCTTAGCTTCAATCTGAAAGCAGTAATTACCTCTTTATCAGTCATAAGAAATGAAAAATGTTGAGGTGAATAATCAAAGAATAAAAAAGCAATCACTGATAAGTTGCGGTTGGAATAACGGCTCAAGAAAAACCTCCTCTTTAACACATAATATTCACTGTGATTAATATGATGCAAAAGATCAAACTGTGGAATGATGCTTGAAGTAGAACTGGATTAATAAAAAGGAGAGGACATCTGAATAGGACAGAAAACCGTACTCGTTTTCGCAATCTTTGTTCCTGTTCTCGAAGAAGAGCTTGTCGTAATTTTGTTTCCAGTTCAGATTGCAAGTCTTCTTCCAGATCCCTCGAACTTATTTTCATTCTAGAATCCTTCTTTCGCAATTTCGCCTAAATATCCTTCATCCTTTATCAGGAAATGTTTGTGGAAGAACAATGACAACAAGCAAAGTTCCCGGCAGTGTTGTAGATAATTTAACACAATTCAAAACCCCAACATTCTACACTTCTATGTTCCGCAGTTATTGATTCAACCCTCTCGAAATTGATCAAGGAAGAGATTCAAGATAGAGCAGTTCCTTGAAACCCAATAAACAGATAAACTACCTCAATTCTCCAAAAAAGTACCGAAAGCAGTCTCCTTGACTCTAACTTCCGCTGTGCAATTAGCAATTTTCTTTCTTCTTCCGCAATCATTTCATTTAACAGACGCTCCTTCTTCAGTCGCTTTTCTTGATTTCGCTGAACTCTCAATTCGAAATATTTTTTTTGTCATGATATGAAACGGTTAATGCAGCCCATATTCTGTTACATTTATAACAAAAAACTGAGTGTCCAGGACTTAAACTTCCACAGTCGATAAAAGACCTCATTTATTTTTCCGGTACTTGCTCTTGTCTACTGATTGGATTTAACTGTGGAAAATAATAAGTTCAATCGTACGGATATTTCCGGGATTTCATTACATACAGTTGAAAAAATTCAATATTCCACCTTTTAAATAGCTTTTGAAACTTCGAAATATGAAAATAAAACTATGAAACAAATAGTGAAAAGATAGCCACGAAATTGATAAAACTGCCGAACATTTCAAAACAAAAATCACTAACTTTTCGGCGGTGTTTCTCTTCACTCTGTGACCGACGATCGACGTATTCCTTTCCTGTATTCCCCTCTTCCTTTTCACTGCAAAAATGAGCATTGTTCAGTAACTACCACATACTTTCCGTGTAATTTTTGTTGAATTGAGAGGAACCAAGGGTTTAATTTCAGCTTTCACTAACAGAAATATAAGCAACGTTTCTTTCGAGACTTTCAAATTTGTTATTTGGAAGCGTCCTATAATGTCCCCTATACCTCCTCTTAGCATTACCTTCCTAGATGTTACTAGTCTCAAACAGTAACAGTTATAAAAGATTTAAAACTGTCATCTATATAGTAAAGATGAATAAGTCAGTTTCATACCATTTTTGACATTCTTCTGAAATTTTTTGTTTTTCCAATTCTTTCAACCGTTCCCTTTCGACACATCTTTTCTGTATATTTTTGTCTGACAAATGTTTATTTTTATCAAAATCAACCTGCAAAGTAAAACCTGCAAGCCGGGCTATTCATTTATAAGTTAGTGTTACTGACTACGGAAAGCGAGAATCCAATATAAATCAGTTTGCAACAGCATCTACCAGTCACGTGATGATTATGCAATACCTTCGCCTCCATCAGCTCTTGAAAACATGAGATATCACAGATTGTTTTGGTGAACGAAATCTGCTAACCTTGATGGCTGCTTCGAAAATCCTATCATCCGGCATCTTCTTCACTAACTTCTTGTTACGTAAGAAATCCATAGCTCTAACGAATGATATGTATTCTACAAATTGCACATATCCTTCAAATAATATCTCCTGAAAGGATTATTAAAATAGTTCTTAAATTGTAGAAACTTGAGATGGATGAGCTGGGAGTATTTTTAGAGTAAAGTAAATCTCATAACCATAAACTTCTATCTATAGAGAAGGGCTGACCTGTCCGAATGAAAAACCTGTGGTGCGTATACCAGATATTTGAGCAGACATTTTCCTTCTATAAGGATCGCAAACTGGGATATCAACACACCGAACTGTCCCGAAACGTTCGAAGACATTTTGAAGAACATGTTCACTGGGCATTGAATCATCAGTGGAGCCACACTCCTAAAAAAATGAAAGCCTTCCAGAACCAAGTAGAAAACATATTGTATTGCTTTATCAGAGATACTGAATAGAGTTTAATGCAGGACGATACAGTATGATACAGCAATTAATCACATTTCATATTACGATGCAACAGCACAGGAACTTCAAAAGATCGAAAGAGTGACATAGTGACAGATGAATTTTCATGAAATCCGTATGAATGAGCAGGCGAAACTCAGTCGAACGTACTACAGGAAGGGCACGAGAATGTAAAAATTATGGAGACATAGCAGCTGACCTTAAACCAATTCGACGGCATTTTCGCTAGGTAAATAGTATCCGGTCGTTCACCGGGTTCTAGCTCATTCATATTATTTGAATTTCGGAAGAACTCATCCCAATCATGCCGAGTGGGAAAATCCGACTTCGCTTCCGCTGCTCGGACTTTTAGCGGTTCAAAGAAACCCATTACTTTCAATGTATAACCATCCAAAGCTTTAATGACCTGAAAACTATATTTGGCATCAAACCTAGACGAACTTCAAGAAAAAAACGACTTCATCGCTGAACTGATCTTCTGTCACGTACTTCATGAGGATAGGTGACAGATCTGGTTAACAACTGAAAAAAAGTGTCTCGTGATATACGATGGACACAAATGAAAAACCCAAAAGTTTAAGAAAATTAATTGAATTAGTGTATACTTTTAATGAAGTAAAAGACTAATGTTGAGACGGATGGTTAAAAAAGAACCTCTATATTGAACGTTAAATGACCTTGGACAGAACGATATTAGTAACACATTTGAAAACGGATAATTCACAGCAGTTCAAATGAATATTTAATTTATAACCTTAGCAAGAATCTTGCGGCTAGGAAGCTCTGCCTCAAATCGAACCAACTCGATGGTGCTTGTTATAACGCGAATCGACGAAAGCTACAAAATAAAAAATATACGTTTTTGTGGTGCTAGTACAAAAGTTAACCTCTCACATCAAAGCGGAGGTAAAGAGTAGGAAGATGATCAAGGAGAACAGTTAGACTGATATCGAAAGTTATAACCAAATATATTCCTGACAGGTGACCTAAACTAACGACAAACTGAAGAAACGAATACGTTAAAAATTAAGTTATCTATTATTTTGGTAAATGAAAAACAAAGGCATGATGGTGCTAACGTTCGATAAGTAACTGGCATCCTCAGCTTCTTTCAAATCATTGTTCATGATCATTACTGGTGTAAAATAGGATTACTATTCGGGAAGTACTTGAATTTTAACACACGGAGTTGTAGTATGTTACACCACATACAAACGGCTTAACCCCCGTATAACTTTATATCTGACAATACGAGCCTCCTTCTTCATAAAGTTAAGAAATGGTATTTAGTCAACATTCACTATTCATTACGATATTTCTAAACTAAAATGAAGGGAAAATTAATACCTCAATAGGACTGACGGCCTTTTTGATTTTCTCCATCAAATCCCAATTGGAAATCGATTGTCCGGGTTGTTTCAATGGAGGCAGACATACAGTAACTGTCATTCTGGCCGAAGGTTTCACATAAAGACCCACTGAAATACACAGTGGTTCCAATTCATCAGCCATTGAGGTTGGTGCATTCTTCTCATGAATCCAGTCTTCAGGATAATTTCTGAATGAGGAAAACGAATCGAAACGAAATGAAAAGTCATAGCAGTACGTTAAGCAGCAATGATATCATAGAGATAGTCTCGATGAGTTTAAAAATCGGATACAACATTGTAACTTGGAACATAAGAACATAAGTGATGTTGTCAAAGCGCGAATGCAACACCTGTAATCTGACATGTCGAAGAGGTGCCAATTTCTCTACCAAGAGATACCATCAATATATTGCCATACATGAAATACAACAATGATAACCTGGAATAGCTGTATATAAGCCAGTGAACTTACCCTTTTTCTGTTTTGATATGCCTGTCCACCTAATCAGTTAATTGGTGGCTTTTGGATATAGGCAGTGAACAAGTGGTGTTTAGTGAAGAATGATGCATTCTTCTGCATTCCTGTGACCTGGAATTAAATCTTGACTTTTGTTCTGTTTTTGACTAATTTGACATACATACGTTAGCTGGAAAGATTAATCTGTTTCCATAATTAAGAAATTTTATTATACGACAAAAGGGGGCGATGACTGCATTTAACACGACCTGTGGATGAGACTGCTGGACTTGAAGTGCGCGCTAGTCCCGGCAGTTATTTTATATCGCACCACAATTCTTACAGCACTACATATGCACTTTGCACTTAGTGAAAAAGTATATATTTCATAAATATCCACAAGACTACAAAATTCATACTGTAAACTAGGAAATGTGGATGTCTCGAAGAGTCAACATCTAGAATTGACGAGCCTTTGACTCCAGTCTTTCCACACTACCATCAATCAATGACAGAAATGAAGCCAATGAAAATAAATTTGCTTTTTGATAGTCGGTTGCCTCAACTTTCCAGTGACAAGGAATTTTTTTCAAGCGTAAACTGGCAAATCTAATTTTTCTTTTATTTACATCAGAAATCGCCACTGTACCTTATTACGATTTCTACAACGACGACTCATTCTCATCTAATAATAGATTACAACAAATATGGCTGGATATTTCGAGAATGAATAATTAACTGCCTTTCATCCGGAAGTCTGGGGAAAAAGAAAAGCCAGTTCCAAATAATAAATGAGTGCTGGAACAGATGTCCAACATCTGCAGACTAAGCTCGGAAACACACTGTCGAAGTACAGTTCTTTAAAGCTATTGTGGCTACTGTTACTATTCTTCTCAACTATTCCAAAATCCTACTGACATCTTGTCTAATTATGAATTCTCAAACCTGACCCTGCTACCTGAATTTTTCAAAAACTTCCAACAAATAAAGACTCTCAGCCGAATAAGCAAATGGATTAGTTGAACCAGTGACTTGTATCCGGAGTACAAGAATATCGCTACGACACCAATCTCTGCTCGGAGAATCCCAAAAACCACAGTCTCATCAATTTTAAATTTACCATTTCAAGTCCAATAATATTACTCATTCTCAACAGCTAACATGACTGAATTTGAACTCACTCTATCTCTTTGTCTCCTTTAATCTCCTGATTATATGAAAGGCTTATCCCTCAGCCAAAGGAGGAAAATTAGGGTATGCAACTTTCGAAGCAGAAAAAGTCCCTATTGAACATAGAAGTCACTGAGATGCTTCTAAAACTAAACCAACTTCGCTCTGAAAATGTTTCATGGCCATGAAAACCCAGTTGAGTGATTCATATTTCACTGAGTTTGACGCCTATTTTTCCATGTCAAATAACATGAATATGAAAGGAATGATAATTTAATGATAGAAAAGAAAGTCAGACTTTTTTGTTCGAAAAGAATACAATCAGAAAAAGATATACCCAAAAGCCTCAGAACAAATATGCATGATAAATTATTGCAAATATAAAGGTGAATTTTTCAAATTACTGCAGTACAGTGTAAAGTGAAATGAGCGAATACGTACCATTATGAAATGTGTTCATCTGTAAACAATACTCACAGAGGCGTACACACATATAGAGACGCCTACACATACACATTTTAGGACATTGATAACTGGTGACAAAAATGTGGTTGAAAAAGGGTGTTGTGATTACATAAATTGCCTGCTAACGTCACTTTGAAGTGCTGCCAAATTTTTTCGAAGCACAAAAGTTAGAATTTCTAAAATCTTTAGAAGTACAGTGCAAATGAAACTCAAAATTGCGGAAGTTTGGCATCTTTGATTTCATATCATGAATTATCCATGAAGTAAATCATTTTCAAGTAAAAACCATTTTATAAATCATTTCAACTGGAAAAAGTCATTTGGTTAGGCAGAGGCAAAAGACCGAATGTAAAGGCTAAATGATATCATAGATCCTGGATTAACAAAAACAATATTAGGATCATTATTACTGTTATATAGCTGTCTCGACCAACCAAATCAATGACATTTACATTTACATGGCAGAATTTGGTTTATCTATCTTGAACATTCAAATCCTATAACATTTGCAACCTAAATCAATGTGCAACAATTAATTGAGGAAATTAATGCTTACATAACTGAAAGATAGGTAAAGAAAGAAACGGGCAGAAGTGCACTCTGAGAATGACGAGGCAGAACAAGAAAAAAATGAAGTACTTTTGGGAAAAACGCGAAACATGGACTATGTTGATCACAGAAAAACAAATCGAAGGACAAAAAAAAAGTGGATATATGAATGGAAAATGAAATCTGATAGTCTTACGAAACGCAACATCAAAATGTGTAATTCCGTTCAAGCTGTTTTTCAGGAAACAATGCATCCCATGTTTCAAACAATACATTCCAGATCAACGGCATGAAACATGGAACCTACTGTCAACCTTTAAGTTTATTGTTCGGAAATTTAAAAATGTGTACAACGTGATCTTTTCGCTATGCAGATATATAATCATGAAACCGTTGCTTACTTCAAAAAAAAAAAATTGGAGAAATTACAGAAATAACTGTTGATTCATTTCCTTTTTATGAATGCGTAGCACACTTTTCATACAATAATTACCTCAAACAGTTGAAAATGAATTTGGCTCCAAGCAATATTACAAATGAAAACTCTTTAACCAGCTATTCAGTACAACGATTTCAAAAGTAAGTGACTAAATATTTTCGTGATTAAAATAAAATCCAAATTAAACATTTCGAAATGAGCAAATGACCGAACATATTTCGAGCTGAAGTATGTAATAATTTTTGGCCTAAGATTCCAAAATAAAAAGGTCAGGAACGCGAACAAGCGATGTTTTGCCGCTACCATTGCTAAATTGAGCTCTTCCTCGCCCTCCTCGAGCTAAATTTGACTGTCCACCTCGTCCACTACCAGGAGGGCGTCGTCTGGCTGGCATTCCATTCCTACTACCAATACCAGATAAAATCGAAGCATCAATACCCTGAACATAGAATCAGCCATTTCCAACTCTTTATTAAACTAGAGCTATAAAACCGGATAACATAAAGTAGTCCATAACAAGTTTGTTATTCTTGATATATTGAAATAATAATCATATGGTTAAAACAACTACTAATGTCTATAGTGAAAATACCAGAAAAGAAAAAAGAAAAAAAAATCATCATTCCATGCAGAACGATTACTGCAATTCGGAACTAAACGCTTAGTACTACAAAAAAAAGGAAACTTCGTGCAAGTAAGCTTAGTGCTGGGATTCAAACTACTTTCCACAGTTTGTCCACTAATCCAATTGTAGTAAATCAGAACCGTTTGTCATCAGTCAATCAAGCATCATAAGCGACGCATTAAATTTTAGAACGCTAGTTCTACCATGTTTCGACGTTATTTAGCAACGGATAATAATGACAACTACCCAAGTAATAACAAAAATTAAAATATCACTGCCTTTGTTTGAGCAAAATGCACCTGTGCTTTGAGTGATTCCTGCAGTTTTTTATTGAGATCCGCGAGTTGTTCGGCAGTCAAAGCGTCAGATTTCATCAGAATCCCTCCATTTGAAATTTCCGCTACATTTTTACGGTCCTCTGAAAATTCCGCCAGTTTATTATTTTCATAATTACTAGCATTGCAAGACTATAAGTCAAGAATTAAAGATAGGAGAATTTCCACTTTATTTGTTTTACTTTGTTTAATGATTGCCTGTATAGTTGTCGCATTCTTCAATAAAATATAGTACAACAACCTTACTAAAGTAACTAATCAACTTTTTTTTCTCAATTTTCACTTCTCTATACTGAATTTTAAAAAGCACCATTTCCAACTGGACTAATTTGTCCGAGGCCTGAATCTTCACCGAGTGAGCTTACAATGGACGAATGACTTGTCGAATGTTTCATTACATACGCTGATACAGCATTTCCTGCTTGACGCGCTACTAAATTTGTTTCACTTCTGATTGTATTATTCACAGCAACCACTGGAAAAATTTATTAAAGATATCGTGGATACAATAAATAGCTTATTGTCATTCGCCCGCCAGAGATCGAATTATGAACAAATTTGGATCATGTCACTACACAAATTATATGATGAGATTGTAACCAGGTACAGGTAACATACTGTTATTATTGTTACAAAACATTCGAAAGAATCTGTGTAAATGTTATCATCAGCTAATGGCTTGATGGGTCCATTTTCAAGAGAAAATTTGACACTACATATAACACTAAATATAAAATTCTTATTTCTTGTGTAAAATGCTCCTTCATTTTTCCTGACATTCTAATCTTAACAAATTGACGAGAAGTGTGCAAATCAAGTTCTGTAATACCTTCGCCGAAATTTTTAACAAGCTTGATGAGTTGATCACTATCGCAATGGAAACGACTTGCAAGAGCGATTTCTTCTTCCTTTTGTTTTTCCGCATTAAATCTTGCAATTTCGCCACGCAGTTCTGCCTGTTCACGATCACTCATTGCGCTCATTCGTTTGGCACGATCGTACAGTTCACAAGATTGCAGACGACGTTCATTGAAAAACCGTGTCCCTTCATCATGTGTTCGTTGTAATTCCGCCAACAAATGATTTTCACGTTCAGCCAAAATTTGGCGTATACACTAAACTAGATAGTGTTTGGTTTCCAATTACGTTCGCATAAACAATCAAAGGTATGGCTAATACTTGAATGTACCATACCCTGTTTTCTGACCCGAAGTCATGTATGTTCTTTTTGGAAAGTATTCTGAATGAAATATATTTTACTTGGACGAGAAACTCTTCGGCCAATCAGATTCACTCTGTTTTTCTGGTACTCCATAGTTGAAAATCAAAACACTCAGAGTAAAATATATTTCAAAATACACTCATTATTTTCGATATTTACTCACCTTAAATGAATTTCTCACATTCTCTTCCGCTATAGAAATTTGGTTTTCAAAAACGGTTTCTATTTTTTCAATTTCACTATCATGGTCCTGTAGTCCTGTCGCACCTAAAATAATTTTATTAAGAAAAAATGAAGTAGCCTAAGCCAAAATGTTAGTAAACAAGATGAGAGGCTTTAAGAATAGAATTGTAAACCTGTTGCGCACAAAAAACTTTTATAATCCGGAACTTTTCGTTACCAATCAGAATGTAACCTTAGATACCGTGCATAAAAAAACGTTGAAAAGTTTTAAAGGAAATTTTTATAGGAAAAAAACCTGCAACATCTCCATCGATGCGATCATTCTCAAGATTCTGGATTTCGATCGATGTTGCTGATTTGAAAGGAACACAACTAGCGGAAGGCATTTTAGCACCACCAGCATTGGCCACTAGTTTTTGCGACTCAGACGTTGATAATGGCACAACCTCAGATCGATTGCGTGAATTCGCTACTTCCATAATTCCTGTTATAGACATTCATTCACGTTTAACAAACTGAAACTATACAAAATGTTTTGGGAATCTCCTTTCCATTCCAATGAAAATTTATAAGATTAACAGGAATGTCGGTGTTCGACCTGAAGAATATTTTACAACAGAAGATATCACCTCATGTTAAGCCTACTATATCACAGTTTGAGGAAATAACTGACTGATCTGGAGCTAAAATCGGAGCATCCTTTATCCTCTTTTAAAAAAAATCAAACATCGAAACTAATTACTGCAAATATTGCTCTCTTTTACGTTGGCAACTGCCGCCTTACCGTTGGTGATAGGCGATGAGACCACTCCACTCAGAGTTCTAGGAGTAGAATGTGGTGCACAGGTGCATGAAAGTGTAGATACAGTTGCTGCAGCACCCGTCTGAAAATTATATGTGAACCTTTGGCGAACAGTTTTACCATCTCTCTTATCATTTCATAAAACATTTTTTAAAAAAACACTGACTTGGTCCTTGGTCATCTTCTTCTTTTTTTGATTCTTTTATTAGAGGTGCCAGATCTTTTCCACGAACCTAAAGCGCTCTGTGCACCATCTGTAACAGAGTAACTTGGAACCTTAGTAATAAATTGATGAAACTGGTAAATTTTGTTAGGAAACACAGACTTTCAACTGACAAAAATATAACATGCGAAATTCAAATCTAAATCTAAGAAGTAGGTTCCCCAAAAATAAATCTGATTCGACCAACCATCACAAAAGGCTTGTATAGTTTTGTTAACATCGAAATCGAAATTATGAAGTGCAAGAATGATGTCGTTCTTCGATGCCGTATGTACCACCTCACGCACTTTTGCTACTGCTTCTTCGATTACTTTCTTTTCATTTCGATACTGCTGCATAGACATCTTTTTGTAATAAGTTTTATGAAATAAATGAAGTGTATACGCCACCAACTCTGAAATGGTTGCAGAAAATATTACATTACACCAATTCTGTTACAAATCCATCTTATACGTACATGCTCACAGCACTCATAAATAACAACAACTGTTCATTTAGTGTCCACTATCTTTCATAAAAAATAACAAGGTCCCAAATGATAGTCTTTTCCCTGTAATCCAATAATCCAATACATGATGACCATTTTGCCAAATTCCAGTGCACTATCATGTATGTTCTAGATAACGGGAATATGCTTACAATGAAAGATAAAACTGACACATTACGTTGGAATCCAGTAACTGAGAGATTACTAATGGTGTTTCGATTTGACGATGTCTTTATTCTATAAATACAGACACAACACTTTAATTGCTCTGCATTCCTCACAATTTTCTGATAAAACTCAGAGCGACAACTCAGCTCCTCCTTTCCTTTCCACCGCCAATACATACATTTTTCAAAATAGCGAAATATTGTCATTTCTTACGATTCCCAGATTGATCTGATATCGGTTCTGACTGCCATATTTTTTTGGTACAAGGAAAACGCGTCGGACAAACTTAAGAACAGCTCAGACTACAGGAAACAAAGAATAAACTCAGACTACAAAAAAAAATAATAGAGGAGAAATAAATAGGAGGAAGCGACAATAAGCAGTAATGCAAGTAGTGTTAAAGTGTAAGACAGCATCTCTTCGACTCTTCGATACATTCTCATTACACACTATTTCACACCATGAATATGTTCGAAGGAAATGGGAATGTCCTGTGTATATATATATATATATATATATATATATATATATATGTGTGTGTGTGTGTGTGTGTGTGTATATATATATATGTGTT